GTGGGGACAACCCCGGGCGACCGAGACGCACCCCTTCATCCCCCCATCCCATTCCATCCCCACAGCATCCCTCCTCCAGCACCTCCTGATGCACTCCATCCCATCCCATCCCATCCCATCCCACCCCAGCCCTGCAGCACCCCTCCTCCAGCACCTCCTAACACACCCCTTCATCCCCCCCATCCCAGCCCCACAGAATCTTCTCGGGATCCCCAGTTGGTTGTTAAATGCCTGAAGACAGCAACAAAATCAACCCAAACCCAACCCCAAGCCCACAAGAGGGAGACTTTCCCAGCAAGATTGTCATCTCCCGGCCCAGTTGCCCCATCTGTGGGTGACGGCATCCTCAGGTGTCACCACAGCCACCACGACTCAAGCTTAGTGGGTCCCAAAATCCCCATCGTCCCATGGGATTTCCAAAACCCGCTCCCATTCAAAAACCAACACCAGGCGACCCGTTCACATGAGGGCAAGGCAAAAAACCCCGCTGGAGATGGAGGAAAGCAGAGGGGAGGGGTCCGGGGAGCGGTCAGGGTGAGGAAGCCCCTGGAGATGCCTCCTGGGGGTCGGTTGAGAGTGGGGAGCCCCGGTGGGAACCGGCACCTTGGCCGAACCCCACGAGGAGGGGTGGGCTATCTGCCCCCACAGCTTAGATGCCACGTGGGCTTGGCTTTCACCAGCCAAGACCTCCTTTGCACGAGATGGTTCAGCCCCTGGGCAAGACTTGGGTGACACTTGGGTCCTCTGCAAAGGCCGTGAGTAGGAGACATGAAGATGTTTGGTGTCTCCTCCTCATCTCCTTGCCAAAGCCTGGTCTACTGCCTTTATCTCCCTCTCTTGACCAAGCCACGTGAGATGCTCCTCTCCCACCTCCACCACGGTGGCTGGAAACCATTTCAACTCTCATCTTCTAAGGTGACTTCACCAGCTGGTTTGGATGGAGGGAGGCAGACGATCCACGATGCTCATGCAAGCCCCTATAAACCCTCTCAAAAGCCGGTGGGATCTAATTGCTTAATTAACCCCACAGGTGCCCCAGCGAGGGGCCGGGAACGCTGCACATTCCTGAGCCGATTAGGAGGCTCTTAAAGAGCTTAGGCGCATAATTAACATCTGATTCGGCTTTATAAAGTGTTTTGACCAATTAAGAAACCTGCCTGAAGGGCGGCCCCGCAGGTGACAGGCTTGGGGTTTTTGTGTTTTTTTGGTGACCCCCAGGGAGGTGACAGCTTTCCCCAAACAAAGCTTGACTGGAGAGAGCAGTAGGTGACCCGGAGGAGAGGCCGGGCAGCGGGATGGGCCCAGAGAGCCACCTCCCTTGGGCTGGTCAGATGATCTTTATTCCCTTCTTTATCAAGGAAAAATGTGAAGAAGGAGGCTGGGGGCTCCTGCACCGAGAGGTGGGTGTCCCGCTGATGGGCTCGTTGGCCAGCGAGGGTTGTCCACCCACCCATGGGCACCCCGATCCCCCTGGCAGAGCCATGGCACTATCACCTCCGGGCCCAGCTTCCAGGCATCCTTGAAGGACACAGCCTTTGCCAACAGGGAGAAGATAAACTTGGCAGGCATCTTCTCATTTCCCTCCGTCGCCTCGGGTCATCTGCAGGGCAGGCATCCCTCCCCAGAGACACGGGACCGCCGGCATCCCTCATCCTTCCATCCCTCGCCCCTACATCCCTCGCCCGGCAGGAGCGGCTGCTCCCGGCAAGGCGGGCAGAGATCCGGGGGAAGATCCTCCCCGCACAAACCCTGTCCCCAAGCTCTTTCCCACACATCTTCGGCGGGGCCGGCTGGACCTCGGGCTGACCCAGCCCGGCTGCTCTCGCTGTGTTTACTTGCTCGCACGCAACGGGGCAGGGCTGGGACGAACGCTTCCCCCAGTACGAACCCGATGGTATTTTCTCAGAAACGAAACCCCCTGGCAGAGCCATGGCACTATCACCTCCGGGCCCAGCTTCCAGGCATCCTTGAAGGACACAGCCTTTGCCAACAGGGAGAAGATAAACTTGGCAGGCATCTTCTCATTTCCCTCCGTCGCCTCGGGTCATCTGCAGGGCAGGCATCCCTCCCCAGAGACACGGGACCGCCGGCATCCCTCATCCTTCCATCCCTCGCCCCTACATCCCTCGCCCGGCAGGAGCGGCTGCTCCCGGCAAGGCGGGCAGAGATCCGGGGGAAGATCCTCCCCGCACAAACCCTGTCCCCAAGCTCTTTCCCACACATCTTCGGCGGGGCCGGCTGGACCTCGGGCTGACCCAGCCCGGCTGCTCTCGCTGTGTTTACTTGCTCGCACGCAACGGGGCAGGGCTGGGACGAACGCTTCCCCCAGTACGAACCCTCTGGGATGGTATTTTCTCAGAAACCAGAGATGGGGCTGGGTGGGTTATGGGATCAGATGGGTCAGAGGCTTCAGCTGAGATGGGTTTTCCCAAGGGACAGGCAGGGAACAGATCCCCCAGGCTGCTGTTCCTCACGCCCTCCAGCCTTGCTTCCCAACTTCACCACAGAGCAAAAACACTCTTGGCAAGCCTCAGTCAAAAGCCACAGGATTTCATCAGGATCGGGGTCAGTAGGACGTGAAATGACGGCGTCCCTGCTGCGACCTTGGTCCCCTGCTGCGGCCCCGATGCGGCCGGCACGGCGGGGCGATGGGGGCGATCGGCCCCGGGTGAGGCAGCACAGATCCACCCCGCGAACCGAGCCTGCCCCAGCCCAGGGCACACGGCCAGAATGACCCGGGACACGGCACTGTCCCACCCTAGGAGCATCGCATGCCCCCGACAAGCGTGGGATGACCTGGGATGCAGCACGGACCCACCCCACGAGCATGGGATGACCCGGGACACGGCACAGACCCACCTGATGAGCACAGGATGACCTGGGACACGGCACAGATGCACCCCAAGCCCAGACCCTGCTGGGACTTGCCCCTGTGCGCCCCTTCCCTTTCCTCCCCGTTCTTCACCACCTCAAACATCATTCCCAAAACACGTAGGGTCTTCAACAGCCCCAGCCCCTCAGTGGCCCCTCGGCTACGTTTGTCCCCATAGCACCGGGGCAGCATCCTTGGACAGCGACTGGCACCAGACACGGGTGCAGAGGGCTCTGCCCTCGGGGATGTCTTCTCCCCAGGTGATGAAGCACCCGGGGCACCACCCCAACCTGGGGAGCTGCCACCCGCCCCAGGGTCCCCCCCTAGACTCACCCCGTCCGCCGTGGCTGGGCCTGTAGACGCTGCCCACGCTGACCCGGGCTTGGCTATCGGGGACGGCTTGCGGCATTTCGGGACTCCTGGCAGGCAGGTAGGACTCGGGGCGAGGAACCCCGTAAGGCTCCAGTGCCCGAAAAGGCGGCTGCGGCTCGTAGGGTGGGTACTGGCTCCCGTACCCCGTCCCGGCGGGAGCTTGCAGGTTATCGGCCGATGCGATGCCGTGGCCGGCGGGTTGCTGGTTGGCGTACGAGTCCGGGCCGCCCTGCTCCGGTGAGCCCCCCGCATCGTGATACAAGCTATGGGAGTACCGGCGGGGGGGGGCGCCGCGCCAGGGGGGGGGGGGGGGGGGGGGGTAGGGGCGTTCGGCCGCCGGGTAGTAACCCTGGGCTCTATAGGGGCTCTGCTCCTCCCCGTAGTCCTCATAGCGTGCCCGGGGTTGGAAGGGGTACACCACGCTGGCGCCCGCCGCCGCCGAAGCCATGGCCACCCCGCC